CATTTCTTAAAATAGTTTGGCAGAATTATAACCCATTTTTGTGTACATTGGATATATGAAATATATATTCTACTCAGTAAAAGTTGGATATATGATTTGATTTTCTTTAACTGGCTGATAATTTTGATTAAGTTTGTGAAGCATCTAACTGAAGGATTATTCTGCCTAAGGAGCAAATATTTCCTGTGTTTTCTTCTCTTTTCTTAGTTCTCTCACATCTTTAATCTTAAAGACATCTTTCAAGGAGAAGAAGAGGCTCAAGAACCACAAAGTTATTCTACTGCAAGCAAATACTACGTCTATTTCTTAATTTCTGCTTAATTCAGGTTTTGAACATTAATAAATAAATGTAGTTGTATGTGAAGATCTGCTTAGTGATAACAGCAAAATAATCTGTCTTTAGCTTTTTAATAAATCTGTGAATGGTGTGGCTTTATCCATACAACTTTTTCCCCTGTCAAAAAAAAAAAAAAAACAGGAAATAAAAATTGAAAATGTAGTCTACACCTTCTAAATGAGATCAAGTTCTTCAAAAACTGCTGGTAAAGTCTATGGGAATATACATTCAGATACTGCAGAATGTTTGGTGCTGCATTTCTAGATGTAATGAATCATCTATTTGCAGAAATAGATTTAAAAACCAAAAAAGAGTTATTTTGTCAGCAAAAGGAGCCAAACAGATACCTTCAGATCTACTTCAGATCATATTTTCCAGAAAAACAGTGTGTGGACCACTTTGGTATCACAGTTTATTTACCTTATGTGTTCAAAACTAAGATATTACACTGACATTTTTAAGGAAATAGAAAACATTTCCTGCACCACTAAAGGATTTTCTTATGTTATTTTACTTTGGATCAAGATAGTGTGTACCCTTTTCTTAAAGGTACTGGAAGATAATGTCACTGTGGATAGATGCCATACCCCCATGTCATATCAAAAGACACACACACACACACACACCCACACACACCCACACATGTGTATTTTAATTTGTGGGTCACATTGATTGAAATATTGATATTAATAAGAATAAAGTGTAGCGACACTTCAGCCACTCTGCTACCTGAAACACTAGAAAAATACAGTCAAGGTAAAATCTGCTTACACTGTAAGGGATTTCTTTCTAGATGTTTAGTGTTTTCCTGCACAGATGAAGATGCAGGTTTAAAGTTCAGGAGAGTTAACTGTTTTACATGGAGTATTTTCAACTCATTAATATTGCTCATCCCTAAAGCTGCTCCTGGTCTGCTATTCCATTATTTCAAGCTGTATATGAGTGTCCCAAGAGGAAATTACATTGGGGATGGAAGATGAAAATAATCCAGATTCAGTTTTCTTTAACCATTTTATTAAAAAAAATGATGTATCATCAGAACAACTGCTGATGAGGATCACATAAAAACTCTGGAACACTCAGTGCTTATTTTGCAGGCATATAAGCAATGTTTCCTTCAGATTTCACAAATTTCCCAGACAGTTTTATAGGATTAATAATAATGAGAACATGCCTAGCTAAACTGAAGCACAGATCTACACCTGGACATCTCTTCTATAACTGCCAGTTTTAGTACACAGGACAGTCCTTTGCAGTTATGCAAATCTTAGGAACCTTGTTTTGTTTCATCTACTGTGAACTTCTTTGTTTGATAGAGTTGTTTTCTGTTTCAGAGAAACTGGGAATTGTCAGCATTCCCTCCCCTCCTCCTCATCTCCCCAGTGAATTCTGAATAGTACCAATACTAACAGAAGATGCCACATGATCCATTGCTGATAATCACTGACTGCATGATTTTGTCCAGGAAGGCCTACACAGTTAAATCCAATATGCAAGGAAAACAGCTAATATTATAGCTCTCAGTCCTCCTCTCAAAATTCCTATTTTAAAAATACACATCTGCTCTATCATTCTGCAGTGTGCAACTATATATGACATACTACTTGTTTTTAATTTTTTTAGATCTTTCATCCTATCTCATTGCTCTCCAATCCATAGAAATTAGCTACATATTTAAAATACAGTTCAATCAAATAAATTGCATTCAAGAACAACATAAGACTTACCAAAAAGGTATGTTTACTGAATTCTGCTAGTAAAGACATCTGGAAAAATGTCAGCCTTTTTAATTAAGCCTAATCATTCAAAACCTTGGCTTAGCTAAAATGAAATCTGTCTTCCTCATGCCACTCATCTTGCTTAAAACATTCCCATAAATGCTAGTTTCCAATTCTTAAATGCAGAAAGCAGTAGAAAAATGAAAATGCACATTCTGTCTTTGTCATCAGTAAGTGAAACTATTAAGTTACTTCATTCTATCTCTTTTTATCCTAGTAAGCCTTTTCTCTACCTCCCCCCCCTCCTCTTGTCTGCAATCTAAGAGTTTCTGACAGTCTCCTGATCTTCTTGGCAAGACAGTAAGTATGACATATTGCAAGACTTGCAGTGTGTGTTGCAGGATGAAAGACATATAGAGGAAAAGAGGCACAACCTTCTAGTGTCAGCAAGGCATTCAATAAAAGCAGATTCTGCTTTTCATAGCAGATATTTTACAAGTATTGGATTGCAAGATGTTGTGGAACTGGGATGGTTAACATAACATAATCTAACATACTACTACCTGACTTTATGTGGCTCAGTTGGAAGTGTCTCAATTTTTTCCTTGAATCCTTTTAGTTTGAGGAGCATCATCTTTTCCCTTGAAAGACATGCTAATTTTTTGATTTACCTTTTTTAGGATTTATGTAGTGTTCTGTGACACTGAAGCAAGCTGAGCAGAAGGCTTAAGTTACAATAAAATGTAGATTTTTGTAGCTGAATATAATTAATATCTAAGGAAATATGCAGATATTTCCAACAGTTGGACTAAAAGCAATTCAGCTCTATTTAGAAAAACATGGAAGAATATTGAAACTTCTGTCTGCCTTAATCTGAGACTGATTTAAAGCCCTGCTTGAGACTGACATTTCCCCTAATGATACAATCACGTATTAATAGGTATTGTGTTTGTAGGAACAGTTCACGTCTTTCAGCATCTGCAGCTGTTCCTAAGAACTTGATCAGCTGTATGGCTTTGGAAATCCATGTAAGCACAGCCCCAGCCTCTACACACGGTCTTGAGGACATATAAAGGTTAAGGAAACCCACCATGAATTACTCTGGTGTATACTGTGTAGCTTCTTCTCCCTGGTATGATGAAATCTGTGCCTGTCATTGCTCTTACTTTGTTCTCATTAACTTGAATTCATTTTGCACTTCAAACGTTTGAACTCCATTTCACCCCTTATTAACATTTTTGTCTTTGAAAACTACTACAGCAGTCTCTCCCTGTCCTTCTTAAGCTCTAATACAATTTAAAGAAATTATTTTGATTTAACTTTACACAATGCATGATCTGTTGTAGGTCAATGTAGATCTGTTGTCAAAGCCAGTCAAAGAATGACTAAAACACATGTTTTTTTGGATGAAGTGCATGTGGTTTATCTTTTGCTTCCATTTTGCTTGTGCTCCATTTAAAATTCTCCTTGATCTCTCATCAGCGTGTCAGAATTCTTTATAGCTTGTGTTGTTACTGTAATTGTGCAACATGAAACAAATGAAAAAAATGTCCTATGTAAAAAATATTTAAGAATAGCACAGTAAAATTATGCCAAGAGAAACTGTTCAATGCTAGTGAACACACCTAATGAGATTTTGAAAGTGTTTTACAAAATCGGGTGTTTTAGCTTTCAAAAATTCCTGGATATTAGATTTTCTTGATACATGACTGTAATAGGTGAGAGACTAGTATCTGAAAAATAACTAGTTGTATGGACAACTTCTTGGAAACAATTAAATTGATTTATCAATGTAATTTTTTTCTAATCTTCTTCTTACGGTCTTAATAATCTTGATTTTTGTGAGTTAAGTGACAAAGTTGAAGCATTCACTAGTTCACTGATACCAGAACTGATTCAGAGGAGTCTTCCAAGACCCTTCTGAAAGCCTTCTATGGGCTGACTTGGTCTTGCTTCTCTTGTTTATGGTTCTTACATAAACACATGGCTTTCTTGTGCAAAATAACATGAAAAATCTGTTGAACCTTCCTTTTCTTTGTAATTCCTCACTGTAGTTTCTGTGAGCAGTCAGTATAAGGCATAGACATGTCCCACAGATTGTAACAGGACAAAGGGGATGATATTCTGTGAACTGTGCAAAGTTGACAATCCCTTTCCCAGTTTTAATTACAGAAGAATAATTACCTGCATTGTAAGCACTAAGCCACAATTTTTTAATTAATTTCTAACATTTCACAACTCCATTAGAAAAGCTTGCATATATAATTAGGTCAAATAAAACCACAGAATATATTTGATCAAAGACACAAACAGCTGCATCTGGTAATACAAAGGGGGCCCATAATGGCTGCAACTCAAATGCAGTAAACTCTGAGAAATGCAGTATACTAATTGACCAGGAAGATTATTGACATCCTTGGGAATCAGACTTGCACTTCTATGAATTCTGGCTGACTCTTAAATCATAAGTTCTCACTTCATTTCTGACACAGGTTTAATATTTAGCTTTGTTGAAACAGCCAATGTTGAATTCCACTTTTTATGTGGTGGGGAAGTACAAACAGTGTCTCCAAGTCAGAACACTGCAGTTTATATCATTAAAATTTCATGAGTTACAACTTCCCTTGGTTTTGTTTGAGCTGTGAAAAGCAGCCCTGTATACTGTATTCCTTTGCTTAATTGCTGACAGTTTCTCTGGGGAGTGTCAGTAACGTTTAGTGTATATTTCCAACATTAATCACAAGGTCTTCTGCTTGCTTTCAGAGATGGAAGAGCTGCAAAACCATCACACTAGAGACTAAGATGAAGAAATCAATGGAAATCCAGTCTTTTAGGCTCTGCTGCTGTGATCATTAATCACTTTCCCTTACACTGGGAGAAAAAAAAATAGTTCTCAATTTAATTTTAGTACGGAATGCTAAAGAGGCATTAAAAAATGCACTTACTTCTCTCTGTTGAATATGATGAATTCTTTTCTAACGGTTTCCAAGCACTGCTGCAGGTGTACATTCTTTAAAAAACAGCATGAATAGGTTGATTAAAAAAGATGGGGAATCATAGACAAAAATCACAACATGAGAAACAACACTAAACAAAAATGCTTATGAATGAATACTATCAAGAGGCATTTCAAAGACTTGTCAAATTGGGCTGTGATAGTGCAATCAATCTTTCATTCTTTTGGAAGAAGTTCCCCACAAAGAATTCCTGAGAATTTTTACATCTGATAGCTCTAGGAAGAACAGCTTGCATGAGCATTCAAAATCATTAGGAGTAGCAACATAATTTATAAAACCTCGCTGAAATGAAAATTTAAGTCTGGAAATTATTATTAATCTTTTCAGTATTTTAAACTGCTCATACAATATGTCTTTCTACATGGGAAAGACTGGAAGAGACAGCTTTAACACATCTATAAATAACAAGCCTTTTCACTGCATAGTTTTCATTTTTGGTACTAGCAGTGAAAAAAATATTCCTTGTATCTATTTGTCTATGTGTGGGAAGTGCATTTGCCAACTGGCAACACTTTTTCATACTTTAAATGAGCATCTATGATAATCTTAAAAATAATCATAACTTCAACAGGTTGTTACTATTTGACTAAAATAAATGGTTGCTTTTTATCTTGCTTTAGAGATGGTTTATGCTCTAAGTTGAATGAGAGAAAGGTTAAGTCAATTTTCAGAGGTAATAAAACTGAACTTAACTGAGTTTGCCTATGAAAGACTGCAGTTGCAGTCCCCAGCTTACCAGTGGGCAGGTTTCCTTAGCTCCATCTTTGGATTTGTTTTTGGCAAGTCGCTTTTTCTTTTTATGGAGAGGCTTGGACTCTAAAATCATTTCTTCAAGTTCAAATGTGGGATCACAATTCAGTCTTCCTTTCTGGTACAAAAGGATTCAAAGTTACTCTCCGAAGCATCATTGTGGGTTTTTAGTTTGCTTGGCAAGTGTTAATAGCATTGATAATGAACCAGATTCCCAACCACATCTGTAAAGTGAAAACTGTCTTTTTTAGGCCTGAAGTGATACTTGAAGTTTAAATGAGGGAGGTAAGATAAAAATAATATTGTAAAGCAAGTATAAGGAGTTAGATCCTCTTCCTAGTTATGTGCAGATATACTCCTAGAGTGACTACAGTTATGTTACCTTGGCAAGACAGATTAATTTGGCCCAGGGTCTTCATCAAAATATCAGTTAGTGCTATAGAACATAAATGGCATCTGTAATAATGCAGGAGGGAGGGGGAGCATTTCTAACACCTCACTTGTTGAAATCTCATTTTCTGAAATGTTACAGTGGATTCAGTTGCCTAGATCCTGTCCATGAGAGCAGAGGATGGAGCAGGCCTTTTTAAGTTAGTAGCATTTATATAAAAAAATAGTTCCCAGAATCATAGAATACCAGGTCAGAAGGGATCTCAAAGATCATCTGATCAGACCTTTCTGGGCAAAACCATGGTACAGAGTCTGGACAAGATGGCACAGCAACCTGTCCAGCTGAATCTTAAAGGTGTCCAATTTTAGGGAATACACCAGTTTTACGGGGATACTATTGCAATGGCTGACTGTTGTCATAATGAAAAATTTTCTTCTTGCATCTAGTCAGAATCTCCCCAGGAGTAACTTGTACCCAATACCCCTTGTATTTTCCATGTGAGTCCCTGTAAAAAGGGAGTAAGTCTCTGTCTTCTTTGTAGCCACCCTTTAAATACGGGGACATGGTGATAAGGTCTCCCTTAAGCATTCTTTTCTCAAGGCTCGACAAACCCAGTTCTCTCTTTCCTGTTATAGCTGCTTCCCAACCTGATCATCTCTGTGGCCCTTCTCTGGACCATCTCCAGCCTGTCCACATCTTTTTTGCATATTGAGGACTTGTCAGCTGTGGCCTGACAAGTGTTGAGCAGAGTGGGATAATGACTTCTTTATCTCTAGTGGTGGTGCCCTTGTTGATGCAACTCAACATCCCATTGACTTTGCCACAGAAGCAGAACCCTGTTCCCTTATACTGATCTTGCAGTCCACCTGGACCTCCAGGTCCCTTGCTACATACCTGCTCCCTAGGTGGCCTTATGTGGCCTGTTCCTTCCCTCCCACCCTGTGCTACAGCCCTGGACTATGTTTTCCCAAGTGCAAGACCTTACACTTGTTCTTGTTGAACTTCATAAGGTTCTTAGCCACCCCTAACATGGGTCTTCCTACAGGATGGCTTGATCCCATCATCCAGATCCCTTATTAAGATACTAAACAATGTTGGGGCCAATATCGATCCCTGAGGTGCAACCTGTCAGCCAGTTCCCCACCCACCCGTGGACCACTTGTATGTTCCGTAACACACTGGTTTCTCCAGGAGGAAACTGTATCAACAGCCTTGGAGAAATCCAGGTAGACAATGACCACCACTTGCCCCAGATCAAATGAGCAGGTTACATAGTCATTGCCATTTGTCAAGTACAATTTGTCCTTGGTGAGTCCATGTTGGTTTTTCCCAGTTATGTGCTTCATTCTAATGTATTATGCTTTTTCTATTCTATCAAATCTGTTATGAGTTTTCTTACCCGTTACACACATTACTTAAATATTCTGGCTTCTCCATAAAAAAAAATGTTATGTTAATATGTGATGATTGAACCAAATCTTAAGATTCTTTGTTATATCAGGAAGTCCTTTTTTTCAGCAAAATGATTGGAAATACCATTTCTATGTGGTCATTTTCTTCCTTGGTTCTTCTCAGATTCTTGCTTAGGCCTTTTCAAGTTCTTGATTCTTTCAAATCTTTTCAACATAAAAGTTTACAGGAACATAATTTATGCCTAGAGTTGTTTTGATGTGTTTTTTGGTTTGGTTTGGTTCTTTTGTTTGTTTGTTTGTTTAGTTTTGTTTTTGATTTTGATTCTACTCATTAGTGCAGTAAAGCCATGCTGTGACAATATTTTCAGTGAACTCTTCCTCTCCTATTTAGGGATAAGAGCCAGAATGCTATGAGCAGAATATCTGTGGTTCAACTGAACCAAAAACGTTTTTAAAAAGTCACAGCTTGGCATCCTATTTACTGGATCAGTGTTTTGCTACTCCTGTGATCGGAGTAACTTGAGTTCCTTCCTTTGCCTCATTCTCTCAAAGCACTTATAAAAAATTAGCAAGCAATTTGAGTTGTGTGGTGGAAAATGTTAAAAGCAATCTGTTTTCCTCTGAGACTTCTGAGAGTTCAATCACACCATTGTCACTGTCAAGGTGGAGGTACTAAAATAAGTCATCTATAAATGACAGATATTTTTAGTAACCAAAGACATTAAGAAGTAAAATCACATCAGAAACTACTTGTATAACTTGTGGTATGGTGCAATGAAACATTTAATTTAGAGATCAGTCCATCATTTTTATTCCTAGCAAATTCTGTGTACTCAAAGTGTAATACTGAGATATCTGATGCCTTTTCCTGCATATTGTTCAGCTGGCTTTAGTAAAATGTATTTTGTTTTTATTAATGCAGGTTTAGAGCTTATTTATATTTAGTAATAAATGAATAAATAATTCTTTAGGTTTCATCAGTATCAGTTCCTTCCCTGAGCATGCATAATTTTAAGATTTTTTTGAGCATTTAAAAAATACACATCACTTTAATCTTGAAACTTTAAAAATAAAAGAAAATTATATTTAAAATAACTACTAACAATTTATGATTTCAAGCCGAATGTGAAGAAACTAACCATAAAGAAACACATGTACTAGTCAAGTAAGAGATATGTTTATGGAATAAATCTACAAAGGGAGAAATTAAATGATGTGATACTGCTCCCACAGGCCTCCTATGTGCCCTCTCTTCTGCAGAAGGCAGACAAGCTCTTGACACTAAGGGCAAGCTGTCAAAATTTATAAAACTCACTAGTTTCAAAACTCTTCCCAGATCACAGTGCATGTTGGTCCCAGTTCAGCTTCTCAAAAAAGCCTGAAAGCCAAGAAATATTTTGTTGAGTGGCCCCAGTTAATAAGTGGAAGTTTGGCTAGTGCAACAGAGAAAAAGTTTCTGGAAAATGTGTGGCCAAACTTGGTCTCACGAAACAGTAAAGTTTGTGGTAAAAAGAAATGTACTGGAAACGACACTTTGATTCTTACCTCACTGTTTTTCCTGACACACGTGATTGACCGGGTGGAACAAGCAATATCAGACTGTATAGAAGTATCTGGTAGAGCTTGTAATGGGACTTTCAGATTAATCTGGATAGATAATTGTAACATTTTAATCCTATTTCCTTTTAAGTGTAGAATATTATTTAACCTCAAATATGACAGATTTCCCTTCAGCTTTATAGATCCCTGCCAAAACATAAATAAGGGGAATCCAAATGTGAAAAGAATAGCTGTCTTTGGACACATGTTTAATGGTAGACAGTTGAAAGTATTTGAAGAGGATTTCCTCTTTTCTCTGTCTCCATCATGCACCGTTGTCAACATCAGCCACAGAGACAGGCCACTGTGTTAATAGAGGAGTACCAAACACATGGGTTGTATAATTGCTCCTGAAATTACATTTAAATTAACTTTTTTCACTACGCTTAAGAAATCAGAAAACTTATCTATACTCTCTCAGGAATAAGATACTCTCAAAACAACCTAAATCCAGGTGTAAAGAAGGAACAGGCTACATAAGAACTGAGACGCAAGGAGACGGGGTCTGTAGCCAGGTGCATATCTTCCATCGTGCACTTCTTGTGACTCAGTGTTGGGCAGGCTGGGCATAAGCCAGCTGGATGTGGAAAATTTGCAGTCCCTTTATAAGGTGCTGTTACTGCAGCGCAGCTGCTGTACCTCACTGCTCAGGAGGCAGGCTGAGCGGGGTGACACACATCACACTAGTTGGCTACACACTCTCGGACCAAAGCTGCCTTGAGTCTGATCCTTAGGGCCAGAGTTAAGGTGGAGAATGTGATCCTATGAATTAAAGCTTGAGTGGGAGCAAGAAAAAGAGTAAGGAGGTGTCTGGGGAAAAGAAAACACTGGAGCAGCAACAGGAGCAGAGAACAGACTGGCCATGGGGAAGTTTCAGTAGCCAGTTTTGCTGAAGCAGGTTTAAGTCCTTTCCCTTGACTTTTAGGTTCTAAGACGTGTGCCTATGCATGACTGTGCTTTGCAGAGTCTAGGACTCCCTTGGATCCCCATGTATTTTGTACTTTGGGCATGGGGAATTGGATCCCTCTTTTAAAATACAATGTTGTGAAGTATCCCACATACTGACAGCTGTGCATTAAACTTTCAGATAGGAGTAGGAGGTCTAAATAATTTGTTGAGTTTTGCCTGAGGAGGAGTCAGTCCACACCTCTGATATCTCAGAGAGCAGCTGTAACTTGAAAAAAGGGAAAGGAAAAAAGATAATCTCCATCCATCTTGTAGATCCACACCACCAGGAGAATGGTTTTCCTGCACTAGCTTGTACTAGCATTGAGTTGTAAAGTGAAAGGAATGAATTTCCCTACTGGTGAACATGCTTCTGGAGTGTCTATAAGAGGGGCCTGCCTTACTCTTCACCTGTTGTGCTAGTTACCTGCTCTATTCCTGGTCTTTCCCCCAGTTCCCTGAGGGAGGCCTTGCTTGCCCACCCACAGTTTTCTTCTCCTGTAGGATGTTGCTTCGAGGGAAGGCTCTGGTCAGGTGCCAAGAACCACAGTAAGCACTGCCAGCACTGTCTTGGCAACCTGCCTGGCTTATCTTTGCTCCATTAAGCAATGCCCTCTTGCCCTCAGCTTTTGAATGGCTGAATCGTGTCCCCATCATCTTTAGCATGAACTTTAATGTTTGCCTGGATGAAGACAGCATCTAGCTATTCCCCCTTCCTTATCTTTACTTACAGTTGCATAGAAAAAAGAAAAGAAACAAACCTTAGTGTGCTACAAATGTATTGTTTGGAGAAAAATTATAATGCAATATGACCGAACAAAGTGGAGAAGCATGTTAATACCACAATTGCTTTTTATTCACGGCCCTCAAATTCACTTAATTTGCAAATGCTCAAAATGGAAATACCCAGAAAACAGGAACAAAATGGAACCACATTGAAAAAGAAACCAGCAGTTTCCCTCACAGAATCTGAATGTTTTATTGTAAGAAACTATCACAAAAGAAATAGGTCAGCCTTTTGGAACAGTACTTTTAAGTGAAAAAGTAACAGCATACTGGGATGTTAAAAAGTTTTCCAAATGTTATCCAAATGCCTAACTTTCATAGTCACAACAGTCTTCTTGGTGTTCTCTCTCAGAGTTAATCCTGACAATCATTTGCTCTAACAGCTGACATGCAAAGTCTGAAAAAGATTTTTTTTTTTTAATTTGGAAGGTAAAAAAATTGAACCAAGGCTAATTAGGTTTTATTGTGACCTATTGAAATGGGAAGAATTTACCCTTAGCTGTGCCTGAGTAAATGAAAGTAGAATCCAAAATAAATCACTGAAGAGCAATAAATATAAGCATAAACAAGTAAAATGGCAGTGATAAATAAAGTTGGAATTTGCGAACACTGTTCACCTGGAATATCGACTTACATTAGGAACAAAGCCTGGAGTCACAGCTTTCTCTAGAACAGCATCCCAGTTCACATCAGCTAGGTATGGAGAGTTTTGGATGTCTGCAAGGCTTGAAAGACGGCACTCTGGGTCCTTAGTGAGGAGCTGTGATCAAGCACAAGGCATTTTCTAAGGGACTGGATGCCATAGATTGTATGACACACATTTTTTATTAAGAAAATGGCTAGGGAATCTTCTAACAGATCCTAGAAGTTCCAATTTAAAAAAATTAAAGTTATAACTCATAGGATATGAGTAAAATTTAATCGCCATATGGCTGTTGCAGGCATGAAGTTTGTAAATGTATTAGCAACAAAAGTCTGTTTACAGATGCACAAGAGTCCAAGGAAAAATGAAACATCACAGTTCAATGACACTCAACAATTTGTATTTTGTCTTCAATTTATTGGAAGATATAGTTACACTGATCATCCTGGCAGCAATTAAAATTAGCCATTGCACTGTGCTCTCTACCAAAACTAGATTGCTTATTGCTGCAAAAGACATTGATCTTCTGTTACTCTATTCACACATTGACCAATATTTCCTGTTTAAGTATCAACATTGATGATCTGAAATACCTAAAAGAGACAGATGAGCCTTGCAATGTGGCCAGACAATTAAAACAAATAAAAACCTGGGATTTCAGAAGAAAATGATTTCCAGGGTGATGATGCATTCAGAAAGAGCTCTGTCTTGTAGCTTAGCGACATTTACAGCAAAGTAGATCAACTTTTGTTGTTGCAACTATAGCAACGTGGGACAGCAAGATATACAGCCATTTTAATTTCTAATCTCCCTGTTTGGAAACTGCAGCAGAAATACAGAGGGCAGAGTGGTCATTCCTTCCCTCTTCCACTTGCACAACCATAGCTAGGGCAAATGGGGCCAGGGCACAGAGCGGGAATTATCAATCCCCAAAGTTTTGCTATCACTAGTTAATCAATTTTAAAATAAAAAAGAATATATTAAATTTTTATTTCTTTGAAGCCATGAAAAGGCTGAGTCTAAGCCTAAGAATAATGCAGTTTCTGAAGAGAAAATAATACATCAGTTACATTCAGAACAGCCTAGAAATAAACCTGGCTCTCTTATCCTTGAAATTTTGATTGCCTAATGTGAGTGCTTGCCTGATGCCTTTGCACTGTTGGAGGCACTTCTGGAAGAGGAGAGAAGAGAAGAAAGAATGTGTTTGTGCTTTCTTACCTTTTTCAGTAGAGCTATCATGCCCTTGCACCATGCAGATGAGTAGTGAACTCTTTCTATCTTGAACATGTTGAGTATCTCATCAATGGGGGTGGCTGAGTGAATTTCATAGGGCCTCTGGGATAAAGTTAAATCAATATCAAGTCAGTGAGAATGGATAAAAGAGTGTAGACAGCTCACATTTTTCTGAGCTTAGTATTAAGTTCAGGAAATATCAAACCCATGAAAATAGCTTATAACAATTTTGAGGCTAGTCCTTCTTTGTGTTTATGTTTTTCTTTGGTCATAATGAAAGTAATTACTCATAGATACATTTCCTCTGTAAAGTTTTCTCTCATAAAAGAAAGTATCAGTTCAAATGAGATGGATGAATAATTTCATTCCTGGGGTGTTCTACGTGAAATGTAAATTATTTTCTATTTTTTACTGGGTAATATAGAGAGAATGTAAAAAATGCTTACAAAAGTCTGTGTAAGAACCATAGTAAAAAAGAAGACTCCAAAACACAATTCTTCTCCTTTGCCCTTTTGTTTTTTAAATCCAAAATTAACTCATTACATAGATCTGCTGTCATGTGTCTGCAGTTCCTAAATTCTATAGGTGAAAAAAAGCCCTGGGCTTTGCTGTGCTTTGTTCATGAAGTTTCTGTGATTTATCTTCTATTAAATACAGCATTTTGAAATAAAACTACTGCATATAAATTTATATTCTTGTTATTTTGTATGCACATACTCGTATTTGTAAAGTAAGTGGTTATAATAATACTTGATGTATTTTTGTAAACAAGGACAGACACAGTGGATTGTTTGTGAATTAAGTTGTACCCAGCAGGTGATAAATATATGAGATCTGCAGCTAAATGCCATCATAGCAGCAGTGTGCAAATTGATGCATGATAATTCATAAACAGCATAGAGTTACATTCTAATCCAATATCCTCAATAGCGAAGGGCAGATGCTCATTACCTTGACTAAGAAATGAGTCATCCCTTGACTTACGCTAGTGTGTACCTATAGAAGATTATAATTTAGGAATACTTTTAGGTGTCAGTTACCTAACTGTTAAGGAATTGGAGCCATTTTTCATAAAGACCCAGGACATATTCTTATTTTGGGAAGACTCATGCACATATTTAACTTTGTTCTAAAAATAAATTCAAGGATTGCTTACATTTTTTTTGCTTTGATTCACATTCAGTTTGCCTGTTGTTATTTATCGTGTTCATATGAATTCAACAGAACCTAAATGCCTGCTCTAAATACACAATTTTCTTGAATCATGTTCAAAACTGTCATTTGAAATAGTCTGTCATATGCTTCTCCCTACCTGTGGTAATGTTTCCACAAAACAGTTGCTAAAAATGAGAGGTTAACATTCTGTCTGTCGTCTAGAAGTAACCTACTGCTGACTTCCACTTGATATAACATTGTGATCAATAGGATCACTGAACCAGAATGTACACCAATTGTTGAAAATGGTGATTAACTCTAAAAATAGCAAAAATAAGGAATTATGACTCATGGAAAGTTTTTCTGTCAAGGATGTTTCTGCCCATACCTTTTTCCTCACAGGAAAATCCCTAGAACTTTCTTTATTTTAAATATTATTAGCATTCTGCAGTCTTTATTTTTTGAGATTTGAAGAGATTTTAAATATTGTTATTATTTAATTTGAACTATGAATGGCCATTACAACTTTTGTCTTTTAAGCATCTCCCATGCTTATCAGCTATTCACACCACTTGAAGGTCATATCCCTTCTATTCTATTTTATGAAAAAGAAAAAAAAATCTGGTTTGCTTTCATTCATAATGTCTTATCAAAGTTTGTTGTAAACTGTTCACATTACAGTGAAAGTCAGAGCCTGTGAGTCCCACGTTCTACCTCATTCCTTCCCTTTGTCTCTGTTGAATGTATGGTATATACAGTTATTGCAGTATTTTAGCATTTGTCTATAGCTCAGGAGCAGACTGATATCTCACTGTTTGCATTATAGAGTTTAATTTCTTGGACTCGGAGAAAAGATCAATGTTTGATGCAAAGCTCTATGAATTTAATTTGCTTTTCTTGCTAGGTCTTTTATTAGCAACTGGGTAAGGAGAAAAATGCACCTTCAACTTATTGAGAAATGCTAGCACTACTATGGGTATCCAAAAAGTGGTGCCAACATCTCTGTACTGGATGCAACCTGCTCCTGCAGCTGCAGCCCCATTTCCAGCACTACACAGTTTTGGCTGCCCAGCAGTAGGGAGCCAGGAATGAGAATGGCTGGAATGCCTTGGACACCCAGAGCCTCCCCTGAGGGCTCTTACAGTAGCAGAGGCAAATAAAAACAAAAATTCAGCTCAATGAAAAGCAACTCGTTTTTACTTAGTGCCTCTTAAATTCAGGTTGTGAGTGTCATACGCTATGCACAGCTCAGAGGTGGAAAATGAGATTTGTGATGCTTCTCATTTCCAAGTCACCTTCCTTCTTTACCTTCCACCCTTCCCATGCACTGGGATGCACCACACCCCAACTGCAGAAAGTCCTGTTGCACACAGCAACGTGCTGCAGGTTAAGCACATTTCCTAAACCCTCTGCTACTTCTCTTGTTATCACTTCTGTCAGTTTAGGCCTTGTCTAGACTTGAAAAATTTAGAAATACAATTTAGGAAAAAAATACACCTTTTCCTAGTCCATACAGAGGTGTGGGTTGCCAAGCCATCCTCTGGCTTGCTCAGTGGGCAAGAGCTGCTCTTCCCGAGAAAGGAAGCAGCTGGCTTGGTAGACTGGAGCAGGTACAGATGGTAATGTTTTTATTAAAAATAAAAAAAAAAAATGATTTAATCTCAATTTTGCTTTGTCTATGGCCAGATTGACTTATTCAGAAAAGACTGTATGGATCTTGGCAAATGGATATCAGTCTATATAATTTTTCATTTATTAAAGTGAATTTGTCATGTTAAAGTGATCTTTTGTGATTAGTCTTGGGAATTCAGCTTTCCTTACACAACCATTCATTGTGGTTCTTTCTTGGAGACACTCACTGGTGAAAGGGTTAATATAAAACCATCAGGATATTCTCTTAATTTACTGTAGGTGCAGCTAGTACTACTGTCTGTGACTAGGGTTGAGGAGGATTTATGCTTATCACTGCCCGACCTTAACTTCTCTATTCTGATAAGATCGTCAGCTTAAGAACTCCCTAATTTTTGAGAATGATGGTGGAGAAAAGTTGCTAATACTTGTTGCTTTGGTTTTGTTTTTGTTTTCAAAAAAGGTTTTTAATACTCCTGTGTTCTGAGAGCAGAAACAGTCTTTGCATGGGAAAGATCTTTGCATCAGGAGAATGACTTTTGCCATTTCTGTGGAAATACAAAATAGACTGGCCAAGTTCTAGGCCTATGAAAAATGTAGCTTCTGAAGTAACAATATGCCAACTCTCTGAAATTTACTTTTCCAGCTAAAGTGGGAATACTAACTCTTTATTTCTGTTTTTCTTTATCTGTCATCCTACGTGAAATTGTGAGATCTTTGTGGGATGGATTGTTTGGCAGGACAAGGTAGCAGAACTCTGTTAGTGTCATATGATAAATATTTCTTCCTTTAAAACAGCATACTGCAATGCAGTGAAATCCCCTTTACAAAACAGGAACTAAAAGTAATTCCTCCCCTTCATCCTCCCACATTGCTACTTTAGCTATGTTATCATCCTGAAATAGTATAGAAATAACTGTTTTCCATAGGGAATAGTAAATATTTAAACAATGAGCTACAATCCTTTGAACCAAAATGGAAAAGAAATTTCCATTATCTTCTGTGATATTTGACCATGCTCAGGAAGATTTTTTCATTAAGCTTATTCACATAATTGATTAGATAAGAAACAAATGCACTGGCAGATAAGCATTTTCTATAGTTAGGCCAAGCATCTTAAACTATTACATTAGACCATCTATGGTATTAGCTGAAAGAATCAAAGATATAATAGAGTCTGAAGTAACTCAACTTCTATTTGGAAAAAAATACCATTGTTTGCAATTCAGCACTGTGGAGAAGCCTTTAAACATTAGGCCTTTCCTTAGCCAAACCAAGTCAAAATTTCATAATGTATTTGAGGGTAAGGTGAAACTTTCCCGAGAATGTTTTTCATCTGGTATAGAACCAGGACAACATTCCTGTCCTGAGCTTTGTACACTCAAATTTTATCATGAAAAGTGCATTCAGAGGCACTGCAAACTTGAGACTTCTGTTAAATAGTAACAAACCAAATCATTCTTACCCAACCCCTCAGTAATTCATATGCTGTAATTCCTAGTGACCACCAGTCTACTGGGTATGAGTATCCTGGACCTCCATCCATAAAAGCCTGGAACACTTCTGGAGCTAAAACAGTAAATCAAATCAAACAAAAAGCATTTAATTAATGTTAGATGATGAATCATTAATAGTCACAGCTAAAAAATCAACAAAGACTCAACTAACTGCAATTAAATACATTTATAAGCAGAGCAATTTTGGGATGCAGTTTCAGTGTCTTGGCTTAGTGACAGCAAGCAATCTTTACTGGACAAGGTTCTTCAAAAGTAATGTAAACATCCCATATGTAAACATCATATGGGAAAAATATCTGCAAGCAAGATGATTCTTTGTGATTGATTGAGGTGTTGAACATGGTAAATCTCATCTTTATGCTACATTTGGATAAAACTAATCAGACAGGTTGTGAAGATATTCCACATCGAGAAGTGGTAGTTAAATAGAAATCCTGACACTGATTTTATGCTGTGAGAAACTGTTATCACTGGAAGTAAACAAACTTTCAATAAAGTAATGAATTCCATAAAAATAACTTCTGTGGAGAAAAAAAATAATCTTTTCAAAACAAGAATCCAGTTCACTTATTTTAGGGAAAAAACCCAAACCAAACTACACTAAATAATGCCACTGTAGTTTCCTCAGAAAATCAGATGTAAATGAGAGAGGGCATGAAATGAAATGAAAACTCAGTCATGCTTTTCTAATGATTTAACAGCAGAATCTCAGTACACTTTGTGAAAACAACACTTTCACTGGAGATTTTCTAAACAACATTATTCCCAGACATAGCATCATGCTAGATTACAATTACCATGTGAGCCTCCTCTGGCCATGATGCCGAGTCTAATGTACCATATTACCACCTGATTACCACGGCATCACTCTGTAATGTGCTTACTGCAGTGACTAATGTCGTCTGGTCACACTTACTTCTGACTGACAGTTTGGGATTTGACTATTTATGGCATTTAGAGAAGCACTTTCAATGAACACAAAGGCATTCCTTTTAGAGGAGTGTTTGCAGTCCTTGCATTATGGATGGTAACATAGTAATTTGCAACTCCAGTCCTGACTTCAGAAAATCTTCAAGAACCAGACATACTAGAGGATTTCAGCATCCATTAATTAGTTATATCAAAGCTCTAATTTGTAGAATAAAAAGCAGTGAATGAATGAAAGTGGTCTTATACTCTTTGACCATCAGGACCATCTCTAAACATGTTAGGTATGAGATCTGCAGGCACCTAAATAAAGATTTTTGCTGGAATATGTGCGTTTGGAGAAAAGATGACCTGTGGATCTCGGGCAGAGGCAAACTTGTGCTATGATCCAGCATGACATGAACCAGCAATGCCACAGGAATCATTACACTGAGTTAACTCTGTCTCACCTCCAGATGATACAGCTTCACTTGGCATGCTCTATCTTCATGTGTGCTTCCACTCTTGTTTGAGTGCTGCTGGTGTGTAGGTACATCTTACAGGTGCACAGACTATAGGATAGATAGGTGCTAAGCGGGTAAGTGGGATTTTTTGGTTACTTTAGTGGATCAATGCACCTAAATCGCACATCAGGCACCAAAGTTATATTTTGAATATCACTGTAGGCTCCTTGTAGTGAAGGTTTGCTTGATTTTGCCCCATTAGTTATGGGTTTTGCCCATTGTGCCTAGATGATGTATAATGTCTCATTACAGAAAATAGCCTTTGTGGTATTTTTACTGAGCTGTGCAGGTATAATATTGGTTTCACTCTTTCTTTTATAGTTTTAATATTGCAATAATGAGACAGATCACCATCTGATTTCTGTGAAATAGAGGTGAAAGTACTTTAGTAATGTAACCTATGACATTGCCAGGATGGTGCAGCTGTTTTGCTAATTTAGTGACTGAGTTACTGACTTTTATTTTATTTTCTTGTTCTAAAAGCTTCAAGGTCAACTCATCCTACATTAAGCAGATCAGCAGAAAATGCTTTCTTTTGCCCTGGAGTTTTGAAACTGTTTTCTCACCTTAAACCAATGGCATTCTTAGGTCAAAACATGAGCAGTTAGGGTCCTGATTTTTAAGGCAGATAGCCCTTTCCCCCCTGCTTTGGCAGTACTATTTTCAGTCCAGCTGGAATGCCTCTTTGCATTCCATCAGCTCCAATGAAGCAGTTGTAAACACTCATTTCACAAGGTGAGGGGGGGACTGACAGAAGGTGCAATGTGATTTACAGTATCCTACATACAGTTTTTTCTCAGGGTGAAATCTCAACCATACTGAAGCCAAAAGACCTTTTCCCAGTTTGACAAAGCTGTTAAACACCCATTTCACACTAAGCTTGTGCTTAATGTGTCTAAAAGTCTTTCTGAGCTGAAACATTAGGTGTAAATGAAGGACTCCAGGATGTATGGCAGACCTCTGGAGTTTGCCTGCTCATTCAGAAACAGAGCATGATTTTACAGAAAATCATGGCAGCAGGCCCTCCAAGTCATGAGGTTAGCCAAGTTCTGAAGAACTAGAGCTGTGAAATACAGAACATAACATTAGATTTTGCTGTAAGAAATAACTATGTCAGGAGAACCAAATCAGAGCGCAAACTGGCTAGGATAAAAGCAAATAAAAAAATCTGAAAGGAAAGTTGAAATTCTGCATTTATTTCCTTTACCATTGTTATTTAAATAGACTATCTGTAATCTTTTAAAATTTGATTTTGATCCCAGGCTCAGCTTGGACAGCCATCCTGCATCCTGCTCTGGTAGGTTCTTCCAAAGAATGATCAGACTTGAGCTTGCCAGCTTGGAGCAAGGGCAACAGCTCTGCTGTGTGCACCCTTTCTGTACACATTCTCTTGCCATGACAGATTCAGGATGAGAAGAATACTTCGTCTTTACCCCCACTCATCTACTTAGATGGAAATATTCTGCCTTCAAGAGTGAGAGAGTGCCTGCATGAACAAGTGTTTCAGATCTTTTTCCTCAAGCATTTTCTACAGAACAAAGGCTTTTCAGGAAAATAAAAGGGCTTAATAATGGGTTTGATCCTGCAGATTCTTTTGGCCAAGAGCTGTAGTTACTATAACATACAGTTAAAGGGAAAGTAGTTGATGTTTGCATGGCAGACACAAAACTTTTAAATAGTGAAAACTAAATCAAAAGTAAATAAAAAGCAATGGCAAGTCTAGCAGCAAGAGTGAATTCACAGACAAGTGAAGAAGTGTTGCAATTGGTAGATCCCACAGGTATTCACAGCTCCCCATGGACTAATGTCTTTGATACGACAAAGAACTGCTTTCCTTGAGCTGCCCAAAGAATGCCTCCAGCAGCAGGATCCTGGTGCAGCCTCACTGCTCACCCTGCTGACACAAATCACCCTACAATCTTGTGATTCTAAGAAAGCTCAAGCAACCACCTCCTCACAGCACACCTGAGTGGGATGACTGAGGTAACTAAGACCAGGAGCCTCAATGGGATCTTTACAGCCTTTTCCTATTGGCAGTCATCATCAACTACATGGGCTCTTCACCTCTGCTCAGACACCTGAAAAACCTGTCAAACAAAGTACTGGGAACTAGAACTCAGAAGTAATGCAGTCTTCTTGGGGTATTGCTTTTCATGTTTGGCAGAAGTGTGATCCGACACCTTTCATGCAATATTTTGGTAACTACAAAGACAGACGCTTTAAATATTAATGCCATTCCAAGCTGGAACACATCTGTACTAATTTTAACAAGCAATGAAATCGGGAATGTCTTTGTCTTATATGATAATGGGTAAATGAACAATTTTAATTTCAGCAACTAGCCCAGCTAAAAGTCCTTCCATTTCTTTTCTAATCTATATTTTTCTCTTAATAATATACTTTAATGATTTAATTGTTTATATGCTTTGTTTTCTTGAAAAATTACATAAATAAACCCACATTTTTGCTTCATTGTGTGCTTCAGTGCATTCCTTGCTAGTCCCTAGCAAATATTTCCAGTTAACTTTTTTTTCCCAACTTAATAAATTGAAATAAATACCCTTCAGAGGACTTTGTCGTTTGGTTTTTGGTGCTTTTGCGCTGTGTCTTTCTAGTAATACCGTATCACTGCAGACTGTAGAAAGTAAATAACTGATTATTTCTCTTTAAAATAAAACCATACTGGAGAACAGCTCACAAAAAAAAAACCAAAAAAACACTGAATGTGAAAGTAACTCTAGTGGGTCTGCATTCACCTCAGAAGAAATGGCTTACTGGGATATCCATACTCCTGTTCACTAGGTTTGTGCAAGAGAAATTATAAACAAATCAATTCATATATATAACAACCCACTGCAATTGTCATAGCAGATAATCTACAGTGTGAATTATGTAGATGATTCATCTCATATTGTATGCATATTTTCCTAAAGATCTGTAATAAAGTTAAAAAATGGAAAATAAATGTTAGTAATTTTTAGCTTTATTTTTTGGAAAGTTATCAATATCTAAAAATATGATTCCTGAGCTTGAAATAATAGAGAATATCAATGTAAATGCAAAACCAAATTTTCACTATTTTTTCCTATTGTAAAAGAGTATTTCATACAAAATGCTTTGAAAAAGGGTTTCTGAAAATGTTCTGAATATTCATAAGTATCACTTAACTTCATAAATTGTAATTCAGGCCTGAAATTCAGGCCATTTTCAATTTGGTGCCCAAAGGTGAGTTTGAAAATGCTCTCCAGGTTAAAATGGTCAATTTGAGGTCTGTCACTTGGTGTGGCTGGCACAAAGAATAGCTGTTATTATTTCTGATGGAGCATACTGTTTAATCATAAAGACAATTCATCAGAATGAATCATAAAATGGGAAGCTTGGAGTGTGTCTGATAGAAATCCCAAATAGCATGATGTGGCATTGCTTTTCTGATGAACTGATTGAAGTTTTACTTCCTTAGCAAGAAACTAATCAAAGAGTGCCCACTGTACCTACCTGCCACTACCTAGAGTCTGCCAAGTGTTGATTAAGAAGCTTACAAAGCTATTGCTTATTTTGGGGCATTGCTGCCTTACATAGGCTGCTTTGAAACTCTGCAAAATTGATGAGAGAGGAAAGAAAA